TATATATATATATGTATGTATGTATGTATGTATATTTATATATATGTATATATGTATATATATGTATGGATGCATGGGTATACCTTTAAACAACTCTAGTGTGTGTAGGTGTTGTGTCTCCGATACAATAATACTATACATTCGAAATACACCGTGAATGGACTATATCGACCGAAGCCTTCGGTTTACACCTGAATGAACCTCATATCAATTAATGCATTTGATTGGATCTTCACAGGAACCTGGCAGTCGCATCTAGTTCACGCAGCCGATAACTTTGTCAAGGTCCCGAACGACATTCCGGTACGCTTTTCGAAGCATATATGTCGTTCATTGTCGCCCATTGTATCGCAATCGTAACGTTTTGGATGAGTCTCGTACTGTTCATGCTCTGTATAGAAGTGTGTGGCTGTTCAAACGTATCTCACGACAGTTTGCGCGCATGTCTCTACTAAAGAGTCGGCATGTCTCAAGTACGCTTTGGGTTCTCATGGGCTTGACCGCATATGTCACTTCGTGCGCACTCACCTGGAATTTAAATGTTGACTTCCTATCACAAGGTGATTGACTATTTGCGTCTTGCTACGCTTCGTCTGCCCCTGGGTACCCCATTCTAGTGCAATCGTGATTTAAATTATAATTGTGCAGATGTGAAACATTTGCAAAGAGATTCGCTCTTAACTAGCAAGACACTGATACTTTCTAATCATCTGTACATATGGGAGTGGGTCTAGCTAGTAGTTTTTATCGCAGCCCGCACGATCTACACGCTTACACCCCTCAGATATACACTCGATGTATCAATCGCACATATACTACAATCATTCTAGTTCACTCGTGGTGATAGCGTGATAAACGGATTCGTGTTGTGTTTAACCCCCATTAGGCCTAGTCGTATTCGCCCCTGTGTATTGCGCTCTGACTCAACTCGTCTCATAAATAATTCTACTTTGTAGGATTTAAACCCTAAAACCCTGACAACTCTACAACCCAACCACTATTAGGCTGAATATGCGTCCATCTTATCGGTCAACCCACCCACGGCATTCAGAATGCTGGAGGATTTTGCTGACTTGAAGGAAGGTGAGTGGCTCATTATGTACAAATATACACACAACCTGTAGATTGAATATTAAGATGTACACACTTATTGTTGAAAACAAGCTCATCTTGTGTGTATATCCATGGAATACACATGAATGTATTGCTGAATAAGGTTTTGTAGTTCTCAATGTATATACGTGAAGGCTTCGGTGCATTTATGGGTATGTGTACACCAAAATACTCAGCTGTTGGATCGCCCACATATGCACATACTTCCCATTGGCGGTATGGCAAACACGTCTACCATAGCATCATTGATATTCACCCAAAAATACATTCACTCCACGAGCAGAAAATTACACATAATCAAGACGTACACGTGCATACGAACGCATGTATTAGAATATGGTGGCCAAGGTCACATTTATTTCCTACATACTTGAGCGCAATGCCGTGTTTTGCATAATCATGAGTACATTTCTGCACGTTGTATAGTAAAAAACGCTCAATACATGCACGTGTATACGACCATATACGTGGTGCCTGAAGAGGCAAATATTCTTATACATATAAACACAGTGCCGTATTGTACGAATCACTAGCACATTTCTGCACTGTGCATATCTACGAATGCTCATTACCTGTACGTGTACATGTGTGACCATGCACAGGGGATGTAGTAGCCCAGAACGGGGCCACCTCTGCCGTGGGGCGAGCAGTGATACAGATGTGTGCTCTGAAAGGTGTGAAAACCATCAACCTCATCCGTGACAGGTGAGTTTCAGCATACCCCCGAAGCGCACGTGTTTGTTGGTCTGTTTCCATTTCATAGCCGTTTAAGAGTAAAAAATAGATATACGTTACCTTTCTGGATATATGCAGTGTATGGAGGCTCGGATTAGCCATTTATTGCCAGTAGCTTCGAGATCTTTATGCGAAACTGGTCTACTGAGAATACGGATTTACCTTCGAAGGTTCAATGTTAATCTGTATGTATATATTCTGAACTTATTAATGCCGTTTTTCATAAAACAGACCTAATATCGAGGAGGTCACCGCAGATTTGAAGGCGCTGGGTGCGACTTATGTCGTGACCGATTCGAGCGCACGACTACCAGAAACGAGGGCAATGTGTAAGTAGACTAGTGGACTTGATCTCTTTTTCAATCTATCACATCGTCCCTATACACGACTTTAAGATATACCTGTACCCTTACCTACATCTATTATAACTATGTGATGCCATGGGTGTGAAGCTTCATGGTATACCTACAAGGAACTTTTCTATTCTGCGGACATTTCATGTATGGTTATCTATGGTTATCAGGGCCGTGTGTGATCTGGATAGTAAATGTGTAACCTTATTCGTGAGTAGCATAGATTGCAGCAAAAATAAAACAACTCAAGACGCCACCACTGTGTGCAAGTTAACGGTACACTTAAGATAATGACAGTACCAACCCCCAAACTATGTGTCTGTGCTCCTCACCTCCACTCTCGCGTATCCATCCATACAATGAACTGTGTTTTTCACCTCCACTCTCATCGTATCCATCCATACAGTGAAGAAGGAGAAATCGGCGAAGCTGGGACTCAACTGCGTGGGTGGCAAGAGCTGTGCCCAAATCGTGCGCTACATGGGGTATATAGTTATATGCTCGCTCGCGATAACTGACCTGGTCTATGTGGAAACGGGTTGTATTACTGAATGTGGCGAGGGGAACTATAGACATACACGCACTGCAGCTCACAAGCACACACATGCATGCGGGGCAGCCCACAGCCAAGGGATATGTACCGCAAGCATATGTACACTCACATATCACTGCTGATATATATGCTTGCAAGCTTAATAACCAGAGCCGAAAGCATTGTTACGCACAAATACTATACGCCCCAGTCAGACACACGCAGAACACTCAAAGACACATCCGAAAGCATGCATACGAACTCATTGCCATGCCTATTCACCACGGCTTGCTATGTGTATTTGCAGCGCACTTTTGTTTGTTGTCTTTGCATCCCTTGCACCGCCGACTGAGCTTGTGATGTATAGTATAAATAGCACTGTGTGATGTTGATTTCTCGTTGCCATACGCGACACTGTGACGCGTGCACTGTCTCTCAGTCTGGCCTCACATCTGTTTGGTAAAATATTTTATATCTCAGTAGACGATGTGTATCATATCACCCGTGTTATCGTATACCGGATCATCTGTATATCGTCTAAGCGACCTGCAAATGTCCGGCGCCTCAAGTGAGTTGGTACTGAGTGGTCTTATACATTATATAGAAATGACGATATGATATACGCCTACGTTTGCTTGCTCATATCGTTCGTTCATGTAAATACACTGAAGTTATGGTTACCAGTGACGGCAGACGTAAGATTTGATCGGCAAGCCCGTTGCTCTTGTAGTAGTGTACCACTGGTATTTGTACATACTTTGAACACACGAGCAAGACAAGACAGATGTAAAAATAGGTGCATCTATACGTTTCTCTACGCATCTCCCATTTGTATTTGTACATACTTTGCAACACGCGAGCAAGACAAGGCAGAGGTAAAAATAGATGCATCTATACGCATCTCACAGTATCTCTACAAACACAGAGCAATCAAAGACAGCATTGAGGGATTGATGTTCACGTACAATCTTTCGGATTCAACCATACATCGCGATAACACGCTATATCTCTACTTGTCAGTGTGAGAGTGCTAGTCATCTATAGTGTGAGGTGTATGCTCCAGGTATCGAATCTTTCACTCTACTGTTGCTGGGCGTAGTGTCGTAGGCGAGATAGACTCAGCTGCCTTTTCCTATCAGTTCCGTGCACTTTCACACATTACAATTTTCTTTCCTCTACATTTATGTATTTACTCACAACAACACACAATTGGTGCGATACAGCAACAACGGAGTATTGGTCACGTACGGTGGTATGGCCAAAGAACCGGTCACTCTGCCTACAGCGTCACAAATCTTCCAGAACATTAAGGCGATTGGGTTCTGGATGTCTCAGTGGTACACAGAGAGGGGCAAGGCCGACAGACTGCGCATGGTAGAAGACATAGCCGGTATGTGAATCTTTGCATATTGTGTACACGTTTGATATGATTTTGCTGCCCTTCCATCCTCATGGGAAGGATGTTCGGTACAAAACTGTGTCGGTGCACAAAATCCGTCCGGCGTATCGGCTCATTTTCTTGCGCAGGTTTTCCAAACCAATCCCAACAGCCGCAAAGTGCCTCATTCAGTGTGTCATACACTGATTCAACGCCCGTGCGTGAAGCAACCTTCCATATACTTTCAATACGCCTCGAGACACAGGAATATAACAGTTTTCAGCATATATTATGCGTGTCAGAATCTTTTAATCAAAAGGATGGTGGCCTCGATTTTCGCTAATATCGTATTATATAGCATAGTTTGTCTACCCGTGTAATTTGTTCATTTGAGCAGCTATCACCATTGCACACCAATGTTATCTTTACTTGTGATCTACGGTATAATCTACTTTACGCGTAGCTTAAGTGCAATATATATGTATATATATATATATATATATATATATATATATATATATATATATATATATGTATATATATATAAATATTCTTTTTATATTTATATATAGAAGATATATATATATATATATATATATATATATATATATCTATATATATTTCTATATCTATATCTATATATATACATACATACATACATATACACACACACGCACATATATATATACATAATTGTACATATCTGTATATAAATGTTTATACATATACATATGCATATATATATATATATATATATATATATATTTACATATACACATATATACACTTACATATATACATATATACACATACACACACGCACACAATATATATATATATATATTTATGTATATATAAATATATATATATACATATATAATTTTATATATATGATATATATATATATATATATCTTTGTATA